GTCAGCAGTTCCTTTTATTTTTATTTAATCTTTTATGATGGTTGAATATAACTTCCTTTATAAGCTAGACTTATATAAACATTTGCATCTGTTACTGTAGGAATAGGTCTCTACCCAAAGACAATTTGATGAATTTCTAGCTATAAATTCTCCATTTCATCGACAGGAAAATGTGCAAATCGCTTGCTTGCTTCTTCAGGCTTACCCCTAGTTGCTAGACAAATGAAGGTATTTCCTAATTGATTTATGTAATAACTTTATTTGCTTGGGTCTATAACTGAAAGTTTAATGGTTCGTATTTTCTTTTGTTTAGAGGCTAGAATTGAGTTCTATATGGGCACTCCTGGCAGCATTTGAAGATCCACTTCCTCTCAGAGATGGTGCAGTAACGTTTGAAGGAGCCTTTGTCAAGGGATTTGATTCCGTCTCTTGGATGGCAAACAACACAATGAAGCTCTTGGGTTCTCGAAGCAACGGTGCTCACTGTTGGACCTTTTTCAGCACTGCAGCCTATGGAAAGAGGAACAAAGTTCCACAGGTTAGTTTTACATGAAGACTGGTTCTATGTGATTTCTTTAGAAGATCCACATCTGCTTATACAAATGTAAAGACTCTAATGCATACAATAAACTAATTTCTTGGATCATTAGTTGAATCAGCATGGCCTTGTATGTCCAGTCTACCCTGTTCTTTAAGTTAGGTCAATGGCCACTAAAGCTTGCTACCATGGAAAGCCAGATGGTATTTTTTTCTTGACTTCAGATTATTAAAACCAAATGCTAAAATGTTCAATCAATGCCATTGCAGTTAATCCAACAAAATCACATAGAAGAAAATTGGTGCATAAAAGGAATAGTTGGTCCAACCAAACATGAACCTGTCTTATTTTAGAATGTTTCCAGTTAGTGTGACCTCATTAACTAGATAAGCATAAATCTAGATTGATACATGGCTGTGTACAATCAAGATATTAATTTTGTCTAAATAAGAAATCAAACCTTTCCATTGGAATCAATTACTTATAATGTTGCTATCTCAAATTTCATTTTTAGGAAAACATTCCTACTGCAACAGCAGAGAAGGTAAAAGCAAGCATGCTTCAGGGTGTTGAAGCTGCTCTTGGACTGTCAAAAGGATCGCTTCCAAAACCTGTTTATACACGAGTCCAGCTATGGTAAGTTACAGCATTTCTCAGAAAGAAACTCGTAATATTGGATTATTTCGCAACACCATTGGGGAAATCTCCTTTTATTTTTTTCTCTTCTCCTGGAATGTGAAGGGGTGCAGCTCTTCCAACTAACACTCCAGGTATCCCATGTATCTTTGATCCTCATGGGAGGGCTGGCATCTGTGGTGACTGGCTATTGGGATCAAATTTAGAATCAGCAGCATTAAGCGGCATGGCTCTTGCTGATCATGTAAGTTATCATTCTTAAGTCAATCATATTCATCATGATTGTTCATTAGTGAAAACCTTTGCATTCCAAAATGCAGATTGCAGATTACTTGCAGACTGGTGTAGCTTCTCCTGACAACTTTGCTGTCGGTTTAGAAAAAGAATTCCAGCCAATTTCCGGACATGATATCGGTCAATTTCCAGGCTTGGAGTCCTCTCCCCAACACACCCTAATACTAGAAAAAGGATATCAATTAGTAACTTAGAAGTATAGTTTTTGAGATCTTGTTTCACAATCCAAACCGAAATATATAAACCATTAAATAAGAGATAGTCTAGGGACTGTTTGAATTAGGTTTTTGGATACATTTGATAATTGACTGATAATAATTTTTTGTTTATAATTTAAAATTAAAAAAATATTTTTTAATTTAAATTGTAAACACTATCTAAGGAGAGGACATTAGAAGCATTCTTCTCATCAAATAATTTTTTTATATACTTTTTATATGTGATTAAATAAATAAATATATTTAATATCAAATGTTTTAAATAAATAAATTGTTTTTTTAACTTGTGTTTTTATAAATTAAATATATATTTTTATTATAAATGTACATAAAAAATATAAAATTTGATATTAATTTAATATCGATATTAAATAAATGAATTTAATTGAAAATTTAAAGGTTAATTTTTATTTTTTTACATAAATTAATTACAAAAAAATACATTTATTACATTGTTAATTTGTGCCTTTAGATACATAGGTTAGACAAATTTATGAATAAAAAGAGTTAATAATTTAAATGATATATGAAATTATATAAAAAAATAAAAAAAAATTAATTCTTAAATTTATTATTGTTATTATTTTTTTACTTTCAAGTGGAGAAATCAAATGCTAAATCCCTTACCACGTAGACACGCCATATTTCGCCACACAAGGCTGTACCCTAACAACAGTTAAAGTTGTCTATATGAGTAAGAGCTAAATTGCTTCGATTACAAAGATTAGGAGCTTACATGCATCAATTAAAATATGAGGCTAATTCAGTAACTTAACTTACGATTTTCCCTTTTAAAAGACCAAAATAATCACCGTTAATTGTGCCATTTAAATTTTAACAATTTTTAATATTTTTTTAAAAGGCTTGAATTGCTTCATGTTGTAAGGATTCTTCTATATTGTAAATTCAATTTCCTTGTTCTTATTGTGCTTAGCTGGAGTTTTGAAAAAAAAATATAGAAATCTAATTGCTTGTGGAATTGGATGAAATCAACAGCTCATTTCATATCAATACCAGCACTTTTACATACTATAATATGATTGGAAGAAAAAAACAAAAAAAAGGCCTAAAAATTCGAAGAAATTACAAGTCATATCTATACCATCCTACTTCCTAAGATACCCTTCAATCACCCTCAAATTTACAGAAACTACCCCTCTGCAAACCAGTTTTCCTCCTTTCACTTCTTCGCCTTCTTAGGCTGCACTTTCTTAACAGGCGATTTCACACTCTTGGCCTTCGGCTTCTTCACCGTCTTGGCTGCTGCCTTCTTTGGCTTTGCAGCAGCGGTTACTTTCTTCCCCGGAGAAGCCTTAGCCGCAGTCTTCGCCACCTTAGCCGGTTTTACAGGTGTAGCTGCTTTCCGCTTAGGCGCGACTTTAGGCTTAGTTACAGCTTTTGACTTTGCGGCGGCTTTAGCCTTTGGCTTGGCAGCATCCTTTGCTTTCGGCTTAGGTTTTGCTGCTTCTTTAGCGGTCTTCGGCTTAGGCTTTGCCTCAACTGGCTTCTTCGCTGCCACAGGAGGAAGCTTGAAGGAGGCCTTCACCTTGACGAGTTTTCCAGAAGCCACCGATTTCTTCAAATGAACAAGCAAAAGCTTTCTGAAATTGGACGGTAACTGCTTATGTTTCTCTTCGATGAACTTCGTGATTGCGTATTGGCTAGATCCAGTTCTCTCCTTCAACGCCACAATCGCATCAGTAATCATCTGCAACAAGCAAAAACCAAATCAAAATCAGGAACCCTAACCAAAATAAAGAGAGAAAAACACAGATTTTCAAAAGAATTACCTGGAGAAACGGAGGATGAGAAGAAGATTTAGCCTTCCTTGAGGCCGCCGGCTTCTTAGCCTTCGAGTCCTTAGCTTTCTTCGCCGTGCTGGCGTTTACGACTGGGTCTGCGGCGGAGGACATGATTCAACTCGGCGATTAACGATCAGCGTTCAGAGAAAATTCAGGCAATTGAGATTTGAATGCGGGACGACGGTTAAAAGGGTCAGGAATAAATAGAAGAAATGGCGAAAGTTCATTGGTTGAAAGGACATGACGCGGATCGATACGCGTTTTACGAAATTTTGAATTTGGGCGGATAGATTAAAGGCTCATCTACGGTTGAGAATAGGAGCTTGGATAAGCCGCGGATCGAGGATTTGGATTGAGAATTGAGGTTGAAGTTTGAGGTGGAGAAAAGTTATAGGGGTGTGTTTTTAGGTTGAATTAAAATGGGTGTAGTTTAAGATATCGCTAATGGATTTTGATGAGGTTGAGTTCATTTTGTAGGTCAAGACCTAAGGATTCTAACAAGGGTTGAATGGTATTGTTTGGCTGAGGGAATTAGGAGAATTTCGGGTTTGAAGGTGAAGTGGTCAAAATGAGAATTTCTTTGGAGTTTCTTGAGGTTAAAGGGAATTTTGATTGAATTCTTTAATGGTAATTGGAGTTTTTTTCATCTTACATGGTCTTAAACTTAGAGATGAATCAATTGGTTCAAGAATCATGAAGATTTGATGAGAAATGGGTTTCGAACTTGTCCTCTAAATGCAACTTAAATTGAACATATCCTATTAATGTGCCCATAATGCCAAAATGAGATTGAAGTTAAGGTTTCAATACAGGCAAAGTTTGTTGTTTTATTTGAAATAGAATTAAACAAGATTAAATGTCCTTTGATTGTTTGGTATTACTCTTGATTCATAATTTCATTTTTTTTTATTTTAAAACAAAATAAAAACTAATAAGAAAAAAAAAAGAAGAAAAAGCATTCAACCAACAACCTAAATAACTTAATAGTCATTTCCTTCTACTACAAGTACAAGGTCTTAAGTTCAAGTTTTATAACATGCGAATGGAGTAAAATAAAAGATAAAAGAATGTTGTTTCTCATTATGCAACCAAAATCAACAAAAAAGAAAAAAAAAAAAAACAAACAAACAAACATTCTAAACATTCAAAAACTAAGGTTGGTAACTAAAACTATATATATAGTAGTTCATGTCTCCTAAAATATCAAAATTGTGCCCTTTTTTCTAATCTAGATTATACAAAAAATATATGTTCTAGACTATGAAATTACCATAATACACAAAATGAATTCCCCCTAATGGTGCTTTAGTAATTTCACTACCCAAATTACATTTTTTTTAAGCAATCTAGACCCAAAAAAAAGAAAAGAAAAAAGGATTCTATAATATTAGATGCTAAATTTGAAAGAATAGAACTATTAAAAAAAAAATAGAGATCAACTAGCATAAGAGAATGAGTTTTTAATTTTTGGCTTACATGATTTTGATATTTGATATGAAATTGTATCTTATAGTATAGTTAACAAAACCTTTTCTTTTTTAAAATCCATATGCAAGGTCCTCGTGTGGTGCCTAAGGAGAAAACCCAACTTGTCGTTGTGAGTTGCTCCCTTTGGGTTTCTTTCCTTGCAAAGGAGGTTTGCTGCTATTGTTTTCTTCTTTTTCCACTAGTCGTTGCTAAACATGCTTAGAGCATGTTTGGATTAGCTTTTTGAAACTTCAATTTTTTGCCATTATTTATATTTCATAAATTTAAATTTTTTTACTTGAAAATTTAGTTTTTAAAATTTTTTTTTAACTTTAAAAAAATATTAAATAGTAAAAACTCAAAAATTTCAAACTTTTATTTTTCATAAATTTTTTTACTCACTTTTTTCTATCTTTAAAAACAACTTTTAAATTTTCTTTTCAATAAAAATTTATACTTATCATTCATAAACAATATTAAAAAAATAAAAGCTCCTAAAAATTAACCCAAATAGGTCCTTAGTGGGTACCTTTTCTTTTTTAACATTCCATATGCAAGGTAAATTTTTTCTCTTGTGCAATGCCTAAGGAGAAAACCCTACTCGTCGTTGTGAGTTGGTCCCTTTGGGCTTCTTTCCTCGCATGGGAGTTTTACTGCTATTGTTTTCTTCTTTTCTCACTAGTGGTTGGATTACAAGTAGTTGTAGCGGGAGGGGGGTTTAGGGGTTTGCGGTGGAACGGACAGATGGCCAATCTTTTCTAAGTTAGGATTGAACATTTGTCTGGGAAAGCTTAGTAGAAGTGGGTAGGGTAAATGATAGATCAGTCAATAAAAGTGCCTTTGAAGCAAATTCGACTAACTAAGATTGGGTCGGGTAACGGCAACAATCAAGGCATAATTAACGAAGGGATGTGGAGGAGGATGAGGCAAGGTTTGATGGTTTTTCCAAGCAAGAAGGAGGAGGCCAAAGGGAAAATGAACGGTCCTTCGAAGGACACAATGACTCAAAGCATGCTTCAAATATCTTGCTGGACAATTCCAAGATGGTTGTTGTTGTGCCTAGGAAGTCTATTCCTTCCCCTTGCTAAAATAGGAACTGATTTAGTCTAAAGATCAAATCAAAGGTTCATACAAAAATTTAATTAAGAATCAAAATGGGGTTTAACTATAAAAGAACAACTATTTTCTTTTTCAAAACCCTTTTTACACATATTTACCTAAAAAAAAAAAAAAGGAAGAAGAAGAAAAGCCCTTTTTACGCGGCTTATTGGAATTTTAAACTTCCAGATAAAAAGTTTGATTTTCAAACATTGGTTGTCCCACGCGCAAAGAACTTTTCGCATATACATTATTCATGATCGTTTCAAATTCTTTGTAAGGTAGAAGAATGGATTTAGAAAATTGGCATTGCCATGAAAATGAAGTAGAGCTTCCATTTTTTATGAATTCTATCACTTTCCTCTCAATTTTGATTTTCCTTTAATAATAATCAGTTTAACTTTTTTTCAGAACAGGGAAAAATCGAAATCCAATGATGACTTTGTGCTTAATTTCATAATTAGTTTTGAATTTTAACTTTTAAAGATTGGAGCAAGGATGTGAAGGAACTTTCACAAAAGATTATCAACAAAATCAGTTTTTTTTTTTTTCTATTTCCTCCTTTTCTCACATCTAAATTACTACTGTTTTTAGAGATATCAAGATATTTTAATTAGTAAGTATTAATTCAAACTCATTTTGTTCTATTTAAAGAATAATTATCATTGAGATAAATTACAACTAATTTGATTAGGATGATATCACTAACTTAAAAATCACTTTAATTTGGGGTAAATGTGAAAGGTCCAGATGTTTTCAATGCCAAGAAAAAAAAAGTAAGATAAATTGCAAGATCATTCCATAAAATGGAATGACTATTCCTTATTTTCACTAAATTTCTTTTAATAAAAGTGAGTATTTTATGAACTGAGCTTTCATATATATGAACTTTTTGCTTCTATAATAATTGATATTTGAATGGGTTATGAGATTTTGCTTAATTTTACATAATTTTTATTTTTGTGCAAAAAAGGACTTGATTAGAAGAAACCATAATTTTTAGAACCAAACTGCATAGATTAGAAACCTGAGGATAAAGTACACAGAAAGCAGAAGTTAGAGACCAGCACTGTCTATGGGCCATTAAGCAAATTGCATTTTGGCCCAAAGTCGGAGACGAACTCTATTCATCGATTTGCTTCAGGTGTCTTCCCCTTGTGCAATTTTCAGCAACTCAAGCGTTACATTTTTATTATGGGATTTTCTTTTTTATCATTAATATTCATAATAAAATTAAAAAGTTGACATTTTTTTTGTTTTGTTCATGTTTATTTCAATTAAGTTTTCTACACTTTGACAGATACTCATTTAAGATCAGAATTGAAAGACTTTTGACAACCCTTTTGAGGTACTGGTAGAGATCAAGTTAAAAATGATAAGAATTCATTAATAATAAAAAATTAAAGAAATTAACATCTTACATTAGATTTTGCTTCTTTTTTTTTTGGTTTTTATTTTTTCTTTTGATATAAATTCTTGGTTCATAAATATAATTTTTTATTTTAATATTTTTATTATGAATTAATTTAACTTACTAGGCTATGTTGTAGTTTAATTAATTTAATATAAATTTGGTGATAGTTATGCTTTTAATTAAAATTATTATTCACATGGTGTGAGTTTTTATTGTTAAACTGCTTAATACTTCAAAAGCTTGAACACCTTTTTTATTGATTGATTAAGTGAGTTATGCATGAATTTAGGAAAAAATTACATAAGTTAAATCAATAACAATATAAATTATATGTTAATTTATGAGATCAAGAGAAAATTAGTGTCACGTGTGGTAGGAGAAAGCAGAGAGTTGGGAGTTCCTTTTCCTTAGACCGGAGGTTTCCACATCAATTAATACTTACTAGTTTATTTTAAGTTATATAAAAATATGATTAATTTAACAAATGGAATTAACTTAATTTAAAAAAGTTAATAAGTTAATTTAGAGAAATTTGCCATCACATGTAATAACATTTAACAAAATGATCCTGAAAACATATTAATCTAGAATTTATATTGATTGATTATAATGAAATCAAATTCCTTGGTGCCTTACATCTTAGTTAACCTTTATTTTAATTTTTATTTTCTTTTAATTATTTTTAATTATAAAATTTCTTATTTGATTAATCAAATAAATTTAGAATTAATTGTTTTTATATTTAATTAATCACAATTTTTATAGATTTAATACTCTACTCATCATTATATTCCTCAGAGTAACTAGTGCACTTATTAAAGTGAATTTAGCATATCAATATTTACTAAGAATTTGGAGTGAAATCTTGCCAAATTCCTAAAAGAAAAAAAAAAGTTAAATGCTAATTTTGGTTCCTTAACTTTAAGACTTTGCATAATTTTCATCCTTCAATTTTTTTTCACTTTTTTGATTTTTTAATTATGAAAAATGTACTTTTTTAGTCTTCCATCAATTAATTTATTAAATCTATTTAAATCTGCACATTTTTAGTTTCTCAACTTTAAGTTGAGAGAAAAAAAAATATGCATATATTAGAAGTTAAGGGACTAAAAATGTGTAGATTTAGATAGATTTAACGGATTAATTAACAAAAGAACTAAAAAGGTGTATTTTTCATAGTTAAAAGACTAAAAAAGTGCAAAAAAAAAGTTGTAAAATGAAAATTATGTAAAACCTTAAGTTGAGGGACCAAAATTGACATTTAACCAAAAAAAAAAAAAAAACATAATGTGAGTTCAGAGGTAATGATGAAAACAATCAAGAGTCATTATCACCTCGTTTTATCCTATCAGGAGAAAATTGATCCAATAGTCATGTTTGTTTTATCCTATCAGGAGAAAATTGATCCAATGGCCATGTTGCCACCCTTGAAGGTAGGGTCTTACACGATGTTTGTAGTACGGACCATTTGCAGGTACATACAAAATTGGCCTCATTTTGCTATTGATCACTAGAAAGTCTCTTTACTAGCACTCTCTCAAAGATAAACTAGCTTGAATTGATCAAGTAGAAATATAGTATGATTTTGTAACAGATAAGAAAACCGCAAAAAGGTGTAAACAGGAGAGGGGAACTGGGGAAGTGAAGGAAGAAAAAGCATTACGTACATTACATAACTTGTACGTACATTAGGCATAAAAGTTGACAGATTACAGTTTAGATTCTACTTTAAGAACTTTTCAATCAAGTTCCAGACAGGCTCCAAAGTTAAACAACTTGAAAACCTATCTACTCAACCACATGTTAAGCCATGTCTAGTATGAGGCTGAAACACAGAATGTAGTTATATACAGTAGGTATTAACAACTAAAACCAAACAGGTTCCTTTTTTCTTGAGTTTTTAACCACCGGATGTTGGTTTCTTCAGGTTGGAACAACTGCAATGACCTTGGACCTCAGATACATTTTCATGTGTGGGCGGAATGTGACGACAGTAACCTGGAATGGTTATGCTCTCCTTCATAAGTGACAATCAGCATTGAAGGGTCTTCTAAGCATCTCTCAACATGCTTCCTTGCCGGGCAGCCTCTGACAGTGCTACATTTATAGTATCCCCTGCATTGCAGAAAGTTTCTCCATTAGTTTAATCATTTTAGAAACATTCCAAAGCAGCACAACCATCAAATATAAGCCTTAAGTAAGATCATCAATGTTGATAAAATGTTGATGATCATTCAAAACAAAGTATGAGATCTGATAGTGTAATTGTGAATGATAAATGGTATTACTCCAACATTATCAACAGAATAAGAATCACATTTTTGTGATCATGCATGCGTTTTTTATACAAAAATGTTTGATTCTAGGAAAGGATTTAAAATGGTCAAAGTTATCAACATTGAGGCTTGATCAAATTATATCACAATGGCACCTTGCCTCAAAGCATTCAGTAGATTGTTTCAAATCATCACTATTATCAAAACGTGCAGAAATAAATTTTTACTCCATTGGCATTTCCTATGTCCGTTGCTTCAGTGAAGACTAGTGAGGACTTGTGAACATGGAAAAAGGCAAAACCATGTCTAAGGTCCTTATAGGAGTCTTTGCGAATAATACTAGTGAATGCTAAAGAACCTGCAAATTTACTGGGGAATGTAAGAGATAGGTTCAAGGCAAATTTAGCAAATAATGAAGCTAACATTACAAAGCCTTTAGCAGCCAAGATAAATTAGAGACACATGATGAGAGATATGTGTCGTTAGCAGAACAAAACCAATGGCCACCTATATGAACTTGTAGAGTGGTCTAACAATAAACCATGGAAACAGAGTAAGGGAGGACTTTAAACACTAACAATTAGGATCTACTTAATCTAGAAGAGAAACTCAGGAACATGCTGTGATATGTTTGAATACCAAAAAAATAAAATTAATGGTGTACCTAGGATGAGGAGAACCCTTAATCGGCTTTTGCCCATATTTCCTCCATGAATATTCATCCGGAGGAATATCAGCTACTTTGTTACTAATAGCAGGCACCTTAATAGACCTCTTTATCCTCAGTTTCCTACAACAAAAAACCAAAGATGATGGTTAATCAGATTGAAAAATAAAAACCAGCCTCAAAACAAAAACTTGGGATAAAAATTTAACCTCCTCTTTGAGCAGTGGCATTTCCCACTACTACCGCATTTCAGACTTCCATCTTCTCCCCTACTTGAGCATCTCCTTCTAGGCTGTTGTGAGATTTGATCAAATGGATGTGTCATGCCAATTAACTGGAAGGAATTCCCTTCAATATCAGTCACACTACCATCCAAGCTCAGTGATGACATGAATGATCTAGTAGATGACGCAGTTGGTGTGCAGCTAGACCCATCAAATTTAAGGTTAATGCCACTATTACTCCTAGAGTACACAATATCAGCATGATATTTCATCTGTTGCTGCTGGAATTGCAGCCTCTGCAGCTGTTGCTGATGATGAAGGAACTGGTATTCTTGTGATGGTTTCATTTGGGAGTTTTGGAGAGGGGGCTTAAAGGATTGACTGACTTTGAATGATGGGTTCTCTAGAAACATCCTTTGCTGCAAGTTTGCTCTAGAATCCAGCTCAAGGAATGGTTTTTCAAAGAAATTAGGTGGGAATACCTGGAGGGGTTTTGGGGATAAAATTGTTCTACAATTAGGACTATCAAGGAAGATGCTTTGTGGCAAAGTTGTTCTGAACTTCTTCAACTTTCGAACTCTTGCATGACTCAGGTCACTGCTCAAAAGAGAGACAACTCTTCTGAACTGAAACACAGCGTCGCCAGTTTCCACCATCAAATTGCTACCCTGGATTTGATCTTTCGGTAGAGATAAGAGGCTAAGAACTCTATGGCAGCTCTCTATGGCTGCCTTGTTTGCTTTCTCAACCTCCTCCATGCTCCCACCTTACTCAGAAAATACAGACCTCCTAAAACCCAAATGATCAAAACATCTAAAAGGAAAACCAAAACTCTCTATTGAAGATAACTCTCCAAAAACAGACTCCTAAAACGCCAAACCCAAGATCTTTAAGTACAAAAGTGTTACAAGAATATCATAAAGATATCTAAAGGAAAAGATTAACACTAGGGGGGACAAAATTTAGCAAATTTAGAAACATATAAAATTCATAAGGCCAGCATAGTTCCCTAAATCTTGAAATTTAAAACCTGAGACAGAAAGAATAAACATCACAAACATAGCAAAAGGTTGGTTATGAAAGTGAATTACCCAGAACCCATTTCCAAAAACAGCATATTCTCTAATGGGAGCTTCTCAAAATTAAAATTACTATGAACAAATTCTTGAACAAAAGCAGAGTAAGTATATAGAAATCAAATACCATAAATAAGAAGATTAATCATTTTTCCTACTCAAGAATTATTAAGAATGAATCAGTTGAGAGAAAGTGAGTAACAACTTTAAAGCCAAAAAATAAAAAAGAAAAAGAAAAAATCTTAGTTGGGTTTGAACAGAAAATCATTATCCCATAGTTAGAATTGAAAGGTGTGAAAGGGGACTTTTGCTTTGTTTCTAGGACTTTATTAAAATCACCCAAAAGAAAACAAAGACCCTCTTTCTCCTTTAACTAGAAACAAGAAAAAAAATAAAAATTCAAAATTAAGAAAAAGAAAAAGAGAGAAAGAAAACCAGTAGAGAGAGAAAAGGTTGGTGCTCACTGCTCACAGTGCAGAGGGCAAACAGAAAGGAAGGAACTGACGTCTCTGTCAAAGATCCGTTGATGGGTCCCAAAAAGACCTCATTAATATTTTTCCTTTTTCTCTTTTACCCAACAATTGATTTTTTTAATAATTTTTATAAAAATATTATAATTATAATAATATATTATATTATATATTCTTACGTAATTAATTTTTTTATTTATAATTTATATGTAATATTTTATATATTTAATTTTTTATTTATAATTTATATTTAATTATTTAATATTTTTATTATTCTACCATATACCTTGTAGCTGAACTTCCTCACCCCTTTCTAAGGTTACCTCATTATGGCGATTTTGAACTTTGATCAGTCGTGATATGCAAACCATGGAAGACCCCTTTCGCTCCTCTACTGCAGAGCCTCGGGTGCCATGCTTTCTGTTCGGAGGTCCAAGAGACTCAATTCTTGTACTTCAAGTAATCCCAAAACATCCTCTAGTTTGAACCTCAACCAAGAACTATAATTTTTTTGATTTACAAAAAGAGAACCATAATTTTTAACAACTTTTTCGTTCTCCTTTGTAATCCAAAAATTAACTTCTATGTGACCCATACATCCACCACATGTAAGCACCTTCTCAACAAAACATCATTCCTCAATATCTTGTGACGCTGAGCCCTGTTCCCTAACTAGAGAAACCACTCCTCATTCCTTTGCCGTGAGTTGCATCTTACCCCTCAACGACTGTAGGTCTTCTTCCAACAAGACCAAAATTCCTTGCATCTATCCAACCATTGTTGCAATAAAACCAAACTCAAAACAAGGAAGAAATCCTTGTCAAACTAGCAAAAACAACACCGCTTGACGGCTTGAGCGTCATCAATGACTCGGACTTAGTATCTCCAAAGACTGTGGACAACACCACCATTGCAAAACTTGAATCCTTCTCAACT